GCCTTGTGGCTCCTTACCCTCAGCCACTCCTATGTGTGTTTATAGTGCAAAACACTGGTTAACAATAATAATAATAATGCAGGTTTTTATTGCTCTGTGTTTTTCTTTCTGGTTCCCACCCCTTGTGTCCTTTCCCTGCGGTTTTTTTGGGGATAAATTTCCCTTCCTACCCCACTGTTAAACACCTTGTCCAGGAAAAATGTGGATTTGGGAGAAGCTTGAGTGTGGTAGTGAGCTCTTGCTGTTAGCAAGTAATAATTTTTTTTTCTTTTTAATATGAATCTGTAATTACAGGAGCAAAGGCTGAGTGAATGTTCCTTCAAATAAATCCCAAACAATGCTCAGAGGATCTAAAACTCCCCTGAAAGTTAAAGAAAATGAGAGTGGTTGTCCTGAAAAGAAGGAAAAGTCGTCTTTCCCTCCTTCAAGAGACCCGAAGAGCTGCAAAGTGACCAAATCCAAAGCCATCAGAACATCCAAAAAGGAGAATTTCACTGATGGCAACCAGACACAGCCACCAAAACGTGCCCTGAAATGCCCCAAAAGCCTCAAGCAGAATTTGGGATGCTCCCAGGGGGTTGATGGGAGCTGTTTTGGGGTGTCCGGGGGGGATTTGCTCACTGAACCCCCCTTGCCTTTGCACACCAAGGAGGATTTTCCCAGCAGCCGAGCTACTCCCTTGGGAAATGATTTCATCACTCCTGAGAGGGACAAAGTGGAAGGAAATCCTGATTTTGGAGTGTCTGAAGAGAGGAGAAAAACTGTCGATTTTACTGCTGTGATAAGTGCTGAGTTTGGGATCGCTCAGGAGAGTTTTGGCAAACGACCCTCGGGTGAGGCTGGGGTGACAAATGACTTCTGTCCTTCCCACAGGGGCTTCTCCACTTTGTTTAGTCCAACCTGGTGCCAGAGGCTTTAATTTAGGGCAGACTGAGGTGATGAGAGCTTGAGGGTTCCTGGGAGCACACCCTGAGGCTGTTGCTGCAACATCTTTCTAGGATACCCCACATATTCCTCTATCCTCAATTTTACCATTTAAATTTATAGCTTGTATCCCACACAGTTAAATACTCTGTGTTTGTCTCTCTTCAGTTAATGGAGTGTCTTGAGTTTCACGATTTGCAAGACAAATTCTGCAAGTAAACACAATTAATTGAAAAGCTCCAAGGCAGACTTGCTTTGTGATGATTTGCTTTTAGACACTTGATTTGATTTGCTCAGGAAGGTTTCTAGGCTGAGCAGGTCATTTTGTACCTTAGAACAAATAGCATTAATCAACCTTAAAAAGGATGCAAAATTACCATTTTAAAGCTTTAGGTACTACAAAACATTTTTGTGGGTTTGTGCTTTGTTTTTCTTTTTAACCTCTCCTCTTTTCCCCTTTTCAGGGACTTCTCCAGCTTCACTAAAATTTCGGAGAAGATCAACCATTGGCTTGAGGGGATCACCAGAAAACAACTCCCTGATCCGGTACCTGGCCCAGCAGAGGAGCAGCAGGCACAAAGAAGCTTTCACCCAGGTGAGAATTCCCAAATTTCTGGTGGGGGAAGATTTCCATCCCCTCCAGGAGCTGTGCTGGGAAAAGGGGAGACAAGGCTTGGCAAGAATCCAGCAGGAGGAATAAAAACCATGGCATTCATTTGCTGCTGTCCCTTGGTCACTGATTCCAGGTTTTGTTTAAACTGTTTACAGGTTGGAATTTCTTTTCCATGTTGAGCTTGCTGCTAAATTCTAATTTTTGTTACTTTCTTGTGTTTGCTGCACTTGTTATTTTGGTAATTAAAGTGTTGCTGGTTCCAAGTGAAGTCGATTTCAAGCACGAGTGACTTGGTTAATCAGATTTGTTCATAACTTGAACTATCCTGGGCTGTCACAAAGCAAATTCTAGACTAGAAGAACAGATTAAATGCAATAAAATGTACCAGATTTCTGGGTCAAGTTCCTTTTTCTTTTTTTTCCTGTACAGATACATTTTCAGCCAGATTAAATGCCAGATTTATATCAAAGTGTAAATACAAACCATTAAAGCTCAAATGGTGAGGGAAGAAACCTGATGGGGTGAATTTTGTTTTGGCAGATCAGTCCTTTCAAACCTGCAAATGTGAGGTCACTGAAGGACAAAATTGATGCTTTCCAAGCCTCCTTTGAATCCCTGCAAGAAGCTGAGGGGGAGCCTTCCAAGGATGGAGATTCCTGTGAGTTGATTAAATATCCTGGTCACTGATTTACCTTAAATATCAGCTTTTCCTTTAGGATAAAAGTATGAAACTAGAAATACTTCTTAAAAAACAAAATAATCTTCCTGTATAAGGTTTGACACAGGTGTTTGTGCTTGGTTTGAGGTTTGTTTTCTTGGTTTAAACCATCTCAGTGCACCCTGATTAGTGGTTTCTCTGAAAAATTGTATTTTTGGGACTCTTTCCTTACTTTTAGTTCCTAGATTTGTACTCTTTGATGGATTTCTCACTGAGCATTAATGCTTTTCCATGAAACAGAGAATTGTTTTCATTTTACTTCTGTTATTGCTGTTCTTAATAACATTTATGTGAAAAGAATAATTTATTCTGTCTTGAAGGCTGGTAATGTTATTTTCAGAGTAGACCTAAAAAAAAAGTAGATCTTTTCCCTGCCTTGAACATTACCTGACTTTTTGCTCCTCTTGATGAAGAAACACAGAGAATTCCTTGAAAAACCTGAAGTTTGTCTTTGTGGTTTGTTTGGATTCTGTTTTATTTTTTTTTTTTAATTGATGCAGCTCAGGACAAAGCACCTTTTAAAAAAGAGCCAAACCTGGAGCAGTGGAGTGAAAAGTTCATGTTGGGCAACAGAGGAGCTGCTTTGAAAGAAAATTTAAGTGAAAATGGGAACAAGAGCAGCAGGAGTGAGCTCAGGATCTGCAGCATCTTGTCCCCAGAGCGAGCTGTGACTGTCACTGACCCTGCTGCTGCTGCCAAGGTGCCTTGAACTGGGGAGAAACCTCTCAGTTAGACATTAAAATATGGAATTTCTTCATTTGCCACGTCTAATCCTGCTAAGCATTTCCCTGGGTGTTTTGGGAAAATAAATTCAGCTGAAATAGTGGATGATGGAGAAAACTGAAATGCTTGTCTGTGGGATTAAAACCCTGCATAGTTTGTGCTGTTGTAAAAATCCTGTAACTTTTTCTTTAGGAATGGGTTTCTGAGCAGCAAAATCCTATTAAATCCTTGGAGACTGTTCTGACTGGAGATACCCTGGATAAAGGCCATGGTAAGAGGATTCAGCACTTCAACAATCTTTTTGTTAAATTCTCATTAGGAAATAAAAATCCTGGAATATTTGTCAGGAAACGTTTGAGGTGACATTTGTCATGTTGTGTACAATTCAGGATACAATAGAAACCTGATGTAACTTTTCCTTCATGCAGTGCTCCTTTTTTGTATGCTTTATAAATTTCTGAAAATAGCAAATGTGGCACAAAAAAATCCAGAATTTACGGATTGATGGATTTTTGTGGACAGGATCTTTGGAGATGTGTGCACTTCATGTTTTTAGTACTAAAAAAAAAAAAAAATTCCTTCAAGCCTTCAGTGTCACAGCTGTGCTTACTCTGCAGTTCCCAGGTGTGACCACAGTGGCTGTGGCAGTGATGCTGTCTCAGATCCCAGCACAAGGAAGGCTGAGACTGTGGAAGATGAGAGCCTGGGAGTGCTGGGAGGAAACCAAGGCCCTGTGACACCTCTGAGGACAGGGGACACTGAAGATGAGAGCCTGGGAATGCTGGGGACAAACCAAGGCCTTGTGACCCCTCTGAGGACAGGGGACATTCCCAGCTGTGCCCTCTCCCAGAGCAGCTCCCTGCTGAGATCCATCCTGAAGAAAACCCCAGGGAAGGAGCTCAGGGACTGCCCCAAGGTTGGTTCAGTGCTTTCAGGGTGAGCCTGGAGCTGCTTTGGTGTCTGATTTGATTGGGAATGGTTTGGAAATGATTTGATGCTGCTTGGTTGTAAGGTTGGTGCTGGGGCAGAGACAAATGACACTGGATTCTGTGATTCATGTGACAAAAGGTTAAACATTTAATTCTTGTGAATTCTCCTGAAACAGAGAGTTTGAATTTCCCAGGCACACCCATGATTGGATACAATCTCAGTCACTCATTTCCTTGGCCATCTGCACTCAGGGTCCAATAGATGGGCTGGGATTCTCTGAATTTGTTAAATTCATCC